CAATAGTGTTCATTTACGGGATTTTTTCTCTTTTGTTGTTTCATTCTTATCGAAACATGGCAACAATGTTTTGCAGCTGTCAATATCATGTCAATTTCATTTTCTCAATTGACTGCCGGCGTCTTAAATTTATAAATATTTTAAACTACATATGTAAATAGTATAAAGATGGAAAATAATAAAAAAAACTAAAGCTACTTGGTTACCAGCAGCGGATGACGCCTTCGTTGATTTGTGGGAGGAAAAAGCAAGCAACCTACGCGGTCCGCGAAAGAATTCGCACATTTATGCGGAAATGGCGCAGTCGCTGGCAGCTTTCGCGGCCGGAATCCGCCCAATTGATGTGAAATATAAAATACATTATTTTACTATGAAATATACGTAAGAAATGTGATATACGTGTGGGTACGGTGTAGTTATTTGTAAAATGATATTGATGTGAGGACTTCCGCCCCCGGGGGAATGTTTAGTTATTTCCCAACTGTTTTTGGATTAGTGGGCGGAAGGGGAGCGGGCGTCGCTCTTGATATCCAACCCAATAGAAAGAGCACAGCTCAAGCTTTGTAAAAAGTCACACTTGCCCCTCGAAACCTCTCACAGACTACTGGGGAACCATTGGAAGATGGTATAAAATTAGCATTTTCACGCCGGAAATATAAACTCGGTAAACGATATTTTTGTGCAGAACACCTTTCCGTTTTGGAAGCGCCTCTTGTATTGTCGAAGGTATACAACATTACTTGTGCATATACTCCGGCTGCGACATCCACAGTATTTTTGCGTATAACTCACTCCAAAATTCATAAAAAAGTGCATATTTCAGATCAAATTTACTAATAAATTAGAGACCGAAAATTACAAAATTTGGTTTTTAAATAAGTTTAGACCCTCGACTATAAGTGTATGTAAAAATACTTTAGATCAGGTCACCCATTCGGACGCGGTCCAACGACGCCAATGTGCAAGGTGTTCTGCGCAAAAATACTGTGGGCAGCATAACCAGAGTTTACATTTTCTATACTGAAATGCCAATTTTACCACAGTTTGAAATGGGCCCCCGGGGGTTCCGTAGAGGGTCTAAGAGGGGAAGGATACATTTTCTGAAAGCCTGGACTCCGTAGACCACAAAATCGTTGTACAAATAACTAAACATTTCCCATACATACTTATAAGTATGTATTCATTTTAGTAATGCTGTGAATTGTCTTTTGCAGAAAATGCAAAGCAGGCCAAGGAACAGGGTGCTCTCCTGCTACTTGGAAGCATTATGAAAGAGTGCATCGCATTATAGGAAACGACCGAATAAATAATGTTGATGCTGTCGTGGTGGATAGTATAACAGGTAATTTTATTTATGTATATTAATTATTACTAATTAAGAGGGTTTTACAATTTTTATTGTTGTATAGCAATGCCGCCTACGTCGCCAATTTCGCCTTCATGCTCTTCACTTCCAGTTGATTCGTCCCCTACATTTTCGGCATCATCGTTTCCAGCCCTCAGCGAAGTCTCCACACCTGCAACAAAAATAAAAAATCAGAAAATAAGCGAGTTAAACGAAACCATTAAAACAGCCATGGCAGAAAACAATAAATTAACTGCAGACCTGATTGAAATTGAGAAGAAGAAGGTAGCTGCAATCGAGATATTGTCCCAAAGCGTCGTTAGCTTCTTGGAGCGAAACCAATTAAAAATCGCCGGTGCACTCATAGTGTCTTCATATGTATCAAGGTGTATTTCACAAGGTGGTGTTGGGGTGGCAGCTGAATTTTTCGCCTTGGAAAGCATTACGCCAAAATGATGGGTTTGTTGTAATTCATACCAATGACAGTATGAATTTCTGCGTATAATTTGTTAGTGTAATTTTTTAATTATATACGGCTAACACCACCTTGTTAAATACACCTTGATATGTATATTATTTTAGTTAACTAAAAACCCGATCTCTTTGGCTTTCATGAATGAAAGCAAATTTTATATACAGTTGCGGATAGTAGCAAAATTCAAAATAATATTGTATTGTATCCCGTTCAATTTTAGTACAAAAAAGTGCTAGTTTCAGCATTTCGTTCATGCGTTATATGGAAGAATTATATGTACACTGGCAATCAAAAGTGAGTACATAGTGTTTTGTGTTTAATATTAACAATGTTTTTAAGTTAACATTTTTTTGTTATTTTTTTTATAAATATGGTTCATGCTTTAATAAAAACCACATAAGTCAAGCTTTCAAACTTTATACAGAACTAAGAAAAATTCAATGAATTTTTGTAAAAATTTTGACCTTTTGGCTACAAGAAATTTTCTTTTATATGGTAAAAAGTACAAAAAGCCGTCAGCAATAAAAAATTCATTAAAAATCAATGCGTTTTTTTAGCCGCTTAAAACTTGCTCTTGTTTTACTAGAATTAAAGAAACAATCTATCTGCGTACTCAAAATTTTTCTAAAAATTCAGATTAAAGCATAAAGTAGAAGCATATATTGTAATTCGACCCTGATGATTCATGGCAGAAGTGAAAAATACCGCCGAAAAATGCCGGCGTAAAAAAACTAGAAGCAAGGCTTGATAGAATTTTTTGTGCTGAATAAAACCGTGTTAAAAAAGAACATATTGAGGGTTAAATCTCAGATTTTAAATTTATAAAAAATGGAGTATTTCAAAAACTAATTGACCAATTGGAAAAATTAGTACACCAGTAATTAAAATACCTTTCATTTGAAGTTTCTGAAAAAAAAATTATAGTTTTGGTGCATATAATACATAGTCAAACCTTAAAGTTATGTATATCGTAAGAAAGGTACGATTATCTGCTTTTTGACAAAAGCATTTAGACATTATGTAAGTAAAACAATTTTTTAAAAAATATACTTACGGAAATATTCCTTTAAAGAATTTCTTATCAATTCTCCTTCATATGGATCACTTTGGTTGTTGCTGCATTGCGGGTTGCACCTGCTATCTCGTTGCATTTCTACTACCTAATTCTCTACGATAGAGTCCTTCTGTGCAATTAAAAAATTGTGTAAAACGCATGCAGCACAAATCACAGTGTTTGCATTTTTTATGTGATTATCCACGCCTTTTCCAATTCTTCTAAATCTAAAATAGCATACAAATTTAACCATGTTGGAAAGAGACAAGAACGTGTCTTTGTATTCACCTGGCTTTTAAATGGTCAAAAGCATTTTCCACAACACGTCGACACTTGGATAATCTATAGTTGAATTTTTGTTGTTCAGGTGTGTTGTTTACGCTATGCGGGTATGGCTTCATTAAATGCTGAGATAGGCGAAAGGCTGAGTCACCTATAACGTGCACTGGTATTTTTGTGGATCCATACTGCCAGCTCAATTCATCAAGGAGTGCGCATTCCTGCAGCTCACGTGTTAGAGACGACTTTTCAAAAATTGAGGAATCATTGCACCTTCCTGGGCTGCCGCAATGGATATAACTGAATCTATATTTTGCGTCTACTAAAGCCAACAGTACGACTGAATACCACCCTTTGTAGTTGTGATAATCAATGGCTTCTTCTTTTTTTGGGTGTATCTCTATATGACATCCATCTGTATTATAAAACCGTTTCTGATAAAAGTTCTTTTCCATCGCATTACTTTTAAGCATACCTATAGCTCCAATACATTGTGGATAACCCATTACATTGAAATCTGCAACTCCTTGCTCAATTTGCGACCTTTTAAGGGGAAAATTGTTTAAATAAATTGGCGCCCAACTTGCCCAAACTTCATTGCAAAACTCAATAAATATTTTGCAAACAGTAGCTTTGCCTACTCCAAACAAGTGTGCAATTGACCTATATTCACTAGAAGATCCTAATGCATAAAGAGCAATTGCAACGCGCTTTTCTAGTGGAATTGCATCCCGATAATTTGTGTCCTTTTTGGTAATTTTTTTTAGGAGACTACATAATTCGTCAAAGCTGGATCTATTCATCCGGAAATTCTCTTTGAAAAACTTAGAGCCATTCTTCTGGCAGTCTACTTCCCAAAAGGTACTGGAATGTTCCTAAAATATATTCATTATAAACCAAAATTTGTATCTTCAAATTGCTAACATACCAAACACCAGACACTTTGTGGACGCACTATTGTTGGGTCCAGTAAATTGGCAGCAATAGACAAAAGCATTTTATTTTCTCTTATCTTTTTTTTTTTAAAATAATATGTCGTCACCTCATTATCTATTATTTTAAAATAAAATGACAAAATCAACATAACAATTTTAATTTTAGGCACCATTTTAGAATTGTAGCACGTGGCGATAGAAAAGTAAACAAACGAATGACAGTTTCAACACAATTTTGATCAAACACGCAGTCGAAACAGTTGACAACTCTCTCAAACCCAAAACCTGCAAACCCAGGGTTTCACTTTGGTGGAAACGTAATATTAAAGTGTTTGACGTGATTCTTAAAATATTGAGCAGAAGCGGTTCAGACTGAAGGCCCGTATACGGACCACATTACATAGATTTTTTTTCGCTTAAGAATCGCTCAGGTTGAGCGGTACACTGAGCGAAACTGTTTGATATAAGCTTGGTGCAAATAACCCGTGGAATTTCGCGAGCCATAATAAGGCTTTTTGTTGGAATTAATAAATAAAATTTAAATTGAATATAGTTTGTATATATTAACTAAAAGGAAGTTATTTTTCTATACACTTGTTCCACGACTTTTTATTGCGATAGCACGTTACTTTAGTATCTTTTTCGTCGTTGGTTATAATTCGTATAAATTGTAATTTCGCCCGGGGTTCTGTGGTACAACATGTTTGTTTTTAAATTTTTCGTTTTAATTAAATTAATTTTCAAATATGGCCAACGTTAATGATTTTTCGCTAGCGTGTGATGCATTGTTCGAGTTTGAGGGGGGATTCACTAATTTGAAGATTTTGATCCAGTTTTAAAGTAGGGGTCTTCACACCGAGCTTGGTACTCGTTTGTGTATTTTGTTTGTGTAAAATTATTTTATTATCGGTGTACCGGTTACCGAATTATCGTGAAGGAAGCTGTTCGATATTTATTCAATTTTAAATCTGCCCGCTGCCGAAAGGCATAACGCATATGAGTAAGTACAATTCCTTAAATTTTCTATTACAATTTATTTGTTTTTTTTAGGAAAAAAGCTATGAATCGGCTGTTGATAAACATAGTTTACCAGACTAACAAAAGAAAACTGAAAACGACGTTCTGAGTTGATATAATTACCGAGTGTCAACCAGCAATTTACCAAAACTATCAAAATGGATGTGAAGACCCTTAGTGTAACATTAGCATTTACTAAAGGGCCGTTTACATAAGACTTTCCTCGCTTTGCTTGACAGTTCGAACTTTGAAAACAAAGCGTGAAGCGTAGAAGGTATGCTACAATAAACGCTTTGACAGCTTCTGCGTTCTCCTTTCCCTCCATATTTTATCTCTGTAAAATAGATAACACTATAATAATATGCATTCGCTTTGCTTTCCTCGCATTCTATTTAGCAATACTCATATAAAATCATGTACTGAACTTATCTGTCAAAGCGAAATTATGAAGAAAAGCAAAGCAAAAGTCTTATGTAAACGGCCCTTAACTGATGGATAATTTTGACTGAACAAATTCGCTCTCCTACTTTTCTGTCTCTTTGAAATCAGCGCAAATTAACTATTTGGTTACAATTCTAGAACAAATTTAATATAACTAAAAGCACGGTTGTAGAACAAAACTAGATAAATGCACGGTTGTATTTTGTATTACGTTTTCCTGTAACAAATTTTCTATATACATACATATGAATTTAGTGGAAAAAACTGAAATAAAAAATCGTGATTACGAAGGAAAAATCGTCAAATCGTCATTGAGCTTAAAAGCGCAAACAGTCAACGACGTAGCGTAGACGTAGGTTGACGCAGACACGACCTAGCTTATGGGATTCGCGTGTTAACGAAAACTCACCACCGCATGGCGGTGACGTTGCCGTTGCTTCCCTCTCTCTATCAACAGTAAATTTTATATGCTGATACGTACGTCAACCTACGTTTACGCTACGTCGTTGACTAACTGAGCTTTAAGAATCTGCGTCGGCATAATATGTTTGCCATTGACAATTTTAAGTCCAATTATGCATTGAATGGGCCAATCACACGTACGCTAATTGATATTTATACGTTAAATAATAACCATTGTATTGATTTTTTCTTAACTCGGCTTTGCCTTAAGAATCTTTTATTTTCCTTGTTGTAAGTTAATTTTTTAAATTGTATTAGACACTTTTGTTTGTATCTAGTCTGTAAGATTCTTGTTAATCATAGACTGAATAAAGAAATACGAAATACGAATGCGGTACATGACATGTGTCACTTCACCCTACAGCCGATCCCCAGGAAACAGGAGTATACCAAACGAGAGGTTTTGTCCTACGGGATGGCTCGGACCAATTGTAGTGGTAGCAAAGATGTTCATGCAGGAGATCTGGCTAACCAAAATAGACTGGGATGACAGTCTACCCCGAAATTTGCTGCTACGTTGGGAAAACTTTCTGGATAATTATGAGCATATTCAGAAGATAAAAATCCCCCGATGGACCCATTTTACGCCGTGGGGCGAAGTACAATTCAATGGATTCTGCGATGCCTCGGAAAAGGCATACGCAGCCGCTTTATATATCACGGTACGCGAGCGCTCTTCAAATAATTCACCCCACATAAACTTGCTGGTGGGTAAAACAAAAGTAGCACCAGTAAAAACGGTGTCCCTCCCCAGGTTAGAGCTCTGCGGAGCATTATTACTGGCCGAACTAATTTATACCTTTATTCCTTAGTTTAAAGTCACGCAGCCTGTAATATACAAATGGACCGACTCCACGATCGTACTCTCATGGCTCTGAAAACCAGCATGTACACGGACAACGTTTGTGGCTAACAGAGTCGCAAAAATTGATGAACTGGTTGGAGTATCCGGGTGGAATCATGTGGAATCTGCGGATAATCCAGCGGATCTTGGCAGCCGAGGCTTGTCCCTCCAGAATCTACTCTCAAGCACTCTTTGGTGGTATGGACTTAAGTGTTTGGAGCAAGATTCAGCTACCTGGCCCTACCAAACCAATAAAAAATGGACATTCTGGAGCGGTTTTCAGACTTCTCGCGAGTCATGAGAGTGATTGCGCGAATTTTCCAATTTTTTCGAAAAACTAATCCAGTGCATAAGTTGGCCGCTAGTGACGAGGCAGACGAAATAACCGCCGATGAAATAAAGCAGGTAAAATGTCGTCTCATCGTTATCGCACAGAGGCGTCACTACGCAGATGACTACGGGGCCATCAACGCTTCAACGCCAATCAACGCGAAAAGTTCACTTCGCGCTCTCAACCCCTTCCTCGACAGGGACGGAGTTATGAGGGTAGGAGGACGACTGACGTTAACGAACCTACCTTACAGTGAACGGTATCCAATAATTCTCCCGTAAGACTGTCAGTACTCAAGATTGCTCATAAAATTCACATATCTGATTTCCTTGCATGGAGGAAACCATCTTATGTTAAGAATTTTTCGGTTCGAATACTGGATAGTGTGAAGGAAAAACTTGATTAAAAATTCAATTCACAACTGTAAGGTCTGTGTTATTTACAGAAAGAAGGCGCGGGAGCAGTTGATGGCAGCGTTACCACCGGAACGAACTGAGATACCCAGACCCTTAACCAACACTGGAGTCGACTTCACCGGTCCCTTTGAGATAAGGAGTTTCACGGGTGTCGCATTACCAAGGGCTATGTCTGCGTTTTTGTCTGTTTTGCGACACAGGTAATACACGTGGAGGCTCTTTTGCGCTTCGTGTCCAGACGCGGCTGCCCGCAGAATATGTATTCGGACAGTGGAACCAACTTTGTAGGGAAGAATAACGCATTGCAACAGGATTTTAAACTCTTTGTCTCTGCAGCGGCCAACAGCACAACCCAGACATACGCTCATCAGGGCATTACGTGGCATTTTATACCTCCAGGAGCACCTCAAATGGGAGGGCTCTGGGGAGCGGGGGTACAAAGCTTCAAGATGCATTTCAGGAAGGTAGCGAACAACGTTTTACCATTGAGGAGCTCTCCACACTTTTGGCAAAAATCGAATCTTGTCTTAATTCACGACCAATCAGCCCCATCTCTGAAGACTCGGAATCAATGGAACCTCTAACCCCCGGACACTTCTTAATTGGCACCCCGCTACTGGCAATCTCTGAACCCGAAATTAAGGAGAACCCAATGGCTATTGTCAACCGGTGGCAAAAGATAAAAGCGATTCACCACACATTTTGCGGAAGGTGGAAAGCCGAATACCTGAAGGAATTGCAGAAGAGAGTGAACTGGAACTGCCCCCAACGAAAACTCGAAGTTCTATCTAGTTCGATCTAGTCGTCGTAAAATACGATAACCTTCCCCCAAATGAATGGCGACTTGGCAGAGTCATTAAAGTCTTATCAGGTCAGGACAGCCGAGTACAAGTCGTAGTAATACGAACGGCTTGCGGAATCATAACTCGACCAAGTGTAAAATTGGTACTTTTGCCAAATTGATAAAGCAAAATAATAATCGTATATCTCTTTACAGAACTCAATAACGCAAAATGGTACGTGCCACCAAAACCAACCCCAACCTCACAAGGGCCAATACCGCTGCCTAGTGTGCCACAGCAACCACCGCCTGGCCTTTTGTCGCGAGATGCTCAGGATGGAACCGGCCGAGAGACTGCGTGCTGTCCTCGGGCACCGCCACTGCGCCAACTGCCTGTCGCCGCATCACACGGCGAAAAATTGTGCATCTTCCCGGAGCTGCGAGCATTGCCGGGACCGGCACTATAGCCTCCTCCACCTGGGCGTTGCACCCCGGGACGAGGAAGACGTGTCACTGGGATTGCACGAGCTAGAAATACGTCAGAGAGAGAGAATCGAGCGATGAAGGCGGGGTACTGGAGATGATGTTTCCACCCCAACGCGCCGCCGGGATTCAGACCTGCTCTGTCGGGTGTACGGGCGGCAGTGCAGCGAGCCCCAGCAACGAGGTCGAAGCGCCGAAACACACACCGACACCCACGGCGATTCCAGCAACA